ATAGGGTTTTCTTGGCTGTCATTTTTGCAGAAACCAACTACCATGTTTGTCTCTTGCGGATCTGCTGGATGTGCTTTTATTGTCAACCTTTTAGTTCTCAGGAAAGCACCAGGTTAGTCTATTACCGTTATCAAAATTTAATTTATCTATTGTCCTTCAAGGTGGTCTCTATTTTAAAAGATAAGCTTTTGAATCATGACCCAAAATTGATCACCTAAGATTAATAATAATCTGTAGCCCTTTACTACAAATAAGATGATTGATATTCATGATCTTTCATAAGAACTATTTTGGGGGATAAGAACTATATCATAAATGTTCCATATGTTTTCATAGAATAAACTGTTAATCTGTGATAAAGTAAATCTAAGGCATGGAATTTGTGACTATTTTATGTTTATAACTCCTCCTGTGATTTTTAATGGAGACTGGCATAGATTTTATGGTGATTTGGCTGGGTCAGGATCTTCAATAGTTTGGACCTAACATCCAGGTTGTAAACAACTCCAGGTTGGCTCATGTAGCATGGCAAGCCCCGGGGGTGTTGCTACTTCATACATATAAATAGATCCAGCGGAGAAGTTGCTTGCTCTCCTTCCTTCTTCAACCTCATGTCTCCTGGTTCGTTGACTGACAGCTGCAGGAGTCAGAGGCTCTTCATCTTAGGATTTGACCCCTGGATTTGAGCTGGACTCAGCTTATCTACTCTTGTGGCTACGTGGATTGCTCTCTAGATATAAAATTCTTTCTTGTACATATATATGTCGCAGGTTTTGCTTTTCTAAAAACCCCAGCCCAACACTAACACAGATACTAATATAAAAATCGAATTACAATTCTGGATATGGCCAGAGGGATATAAATGAAGACATAGTCTAAGTATGTTAATGTATTCCTCTCCATCCAGTCTAACATTTCATGGTCAAATGATGATAGTTGAAAATATAGTTAAATGTGCATGACGTATGAATTGTTATTAGCACCTGGCATTCTGTGATGCTCGCCTTCCCTGCACAATTGCTGAAGACAAAATGGGTGGATAAGCAAATGTGGTGAAGCAAGCTGATTGTGCCCGGCTATCAAATCATATAGCATCTAGGGTCTTAATGGCTTGAAAATATATAAGCGGCCATCTAGCTGAGAAACAACAAAGCCCACATGGAAGAAGCACACCAGACTGTGTGATCATGAGGTGTCAATGGGATCAGGTATCAGGCATCTAAGACTCAAAATAAAACCATATCCAAGGTGAATGGGTGGGGCAGTATGGAGTGGAGACCCAAGGCCCATCTGTAGACAATTGGACATCCCCTCACAGAGGGGTCACAGGGAAGAGATGAGCCAGTCAGGGTTCAATACAGCACCGATGAAACACACAACTTTCCTCTAGCTCTTTGGCGCTTCCCTCACCCCACTCTCATGACCTCAATTCTACCTTACAAATTGGATTAGACCAGAGCATGCACACTGCTACAGATAAGAGCAGGCAACACAGGGAATCCGGGAAAGATAAACCCCTCAGAGCCAACAAGGAGAGTAGAACTACCAGGAGGATTAGGGGAGGGTGGGGGGTAAAAAGGGGGAATCGATCACAAGGATCCACCTATAACCCCCTCCCCAGGGGGACGAAGAATGGAAAAGTGGGTGAGGGGCAATGGAGGACAATGGAAGATATGGAAAAAATAATCTATTAGCTATCAAGGGTTCGTGAGGGCGGCCGGGCAGGTGAGGGAGGGAGGGAGGGAGAAGAAATGAGGAGCTGATATCAGGGGCTCAAGTATAAAGAGAATGCTTTGAAAATGATGATGGCGGCATATGTGTAAATGTGCTCGACACATTGGAGGAATGTATGGATTGTGATAAGAGATGTAAGAGCCCCCAATAAAATGATTCATTAAAATAAAAAATAAATATATTGTTAACCTGTAGTAATAAATGTAAAATGAAGCAAAAACTTTTACAGAAGAGAGGTATGATGGTTAAGCACACTTAACTGAAAGATTAGTAGTTAGAATTCATATAGTCACTCTGCCACAGAAGCATCTAGTTATCTGCTTTCATAAAGAAAGTCGATTATGGTAGATGTAGTGAGATAAAAATATTATTATTATTTGATTCCCTTTTTGTCCCATTTTCAAGCAGTTTCAGTTAAAAAAAAAAGTTAGAGTAACTAGTAAAGACAAGTGAATTAAACTCCTCTGACCATGGACCAGGGATGTGAACAGCTTTGCTAACATGGGGAATGCATTGGGAAGTGGATTGTTTGCAGATCCAGGTAGGTTAAAATTTAACATCCTATCATTTGATCTGACTTATGAACCATTTATATTTATTCTAGTTTTTAATATTCTCCATTTTCTTTTTGTTTGAGTTTTTATCTGTTTCACTTTGTTATTCTTGTTAAGACTTTTGTTGTTGTTGATTTGTTTTTTTTTAATGTTTTTCTGTGTATGAAATCCAGGATAGATAAATCTATAGACAGGAACTGGATTAATGGTTCTTTGGGGGTATAGCAGGGAAGCTCGGAGAAAACAGGGAGCTGATAGCAATGAGTACAAGAATGAGGACAATGTTCTAAAATGGAGTGTGGTGATGATTGCACACACAATTCTTCTTGATATGACTGAACTACTGAATTGTATATATGAATTATATGGCCATAAAACTGCTAGAGGAAAAAAAGAACATCACTTAAAAAACCCTATGGGCAGTTCTACTCAGTCATGTGGTGGTCATGCTGAGCCAGCCAGCAAAGGAAAGCACGTGATAACAGCATACGCACTCCTTGAAATTGACCACAGTACTAAAGTATACAGTAAAGGTCGTCACAGATTGCACTAATAGCCTTAGATATTTCCTACTCTTCCCTACATTTGGGGGAATGAACATAAACGATAACTCATCACAGAGCATATCATAAAGGAAGTCTCCATAAATTTTATCATTACCATAATGTTCTGTGACCTCTATGTAACCAGATTAGAAATCAATGATAAAAAGATAGTTCTAATTCTCATGAATTTGGAAATTTAAAAATGGACTTAAAAAAATTATTGGAGCAAACAAAAGATCATAATGTTAGTTTCATTTTATGTCTGGGCATTTTTAGAATAAGTCTTCTTCTTCCTTAATATAAATTAACCATTATCTGCAAGTTGGCAGAATTGAAATCTTAAAAAGTCTCAAGAAAATGTATCAGGTGGGATTAAAACATTCACGGAAAAATTCCATAGCTTTTTGAAGCTCCTTCATATACTTCATAGGCAAAAATAAAGGCTGTGGGTATGGTTTAGGATAACACTGACTGTGGCCCAGTCTTAAATCTGTATGGTAAACTGAAATATAATTTTCTATTCCCTGAAAGCATGACTGAGTTTTGGTTTGGTTAAAAGTAATGTTTAACTTATCTCCCAGATTTTGTCTCTATATTATAGATGGTAAAACTGTTGACTGTGTTTCTAAGAAAATCTGTTTTTTAATGAAGCTGAACAGACTTCCTTTGAATATATTTTCTAGCATACTGAATACTTCAAATACTTTCAATCAGGCAGTATAGTTTTCCCCAGAGACTCTAAAATATGATACCAGATATTTCATTTAAGATATATTCCATAGACAATAAAGATATTTCATATCTTTAGAAAAATGACTTAACTGAAAAGTAGAATTGTTTTACTATACAGCATGGGAAATGGGTTTTGCAATAATCTGAAACTGTTATGTATTTTTTACTCTACTGTGCATCTATAGCTCTGTTACATAGAAAGCAATTACTTTGAAAAGACTGGTGCCTAGCCAGTCCCTATCCCTCTGGAAAAGCAGGCTGAATGTTCTTGTCACTCAAGAGTTTACAAACGATCCTGGGCTGGGGTAGGCCCTGTTACTCTTCTAGCTCATACAAAGATCTGACTCTCTAGTAGCTAATCAGTCTATGAAGTAAAACATGGAGTAAGCTGACAGATGAGGATGCAAAACAGGAAACAACAAAGTAAACAACGTGATTAGCTGATCACACTGCATTTCATTCATTTCACTTAATAGTTTGACATCATTACACAAGATGACATTACACAAACAGAAAGCAATACTGTTTCTTACTCAGAACACTCAGTATCTACACATGATTTTTGTCTATCACGTACACTACTGAGTATGTAAATGTAGACAGCCTTAATTCCTCTTTTAGAATTGCTCAGAAATGAGTCAGTAAATATTAACTAAAAATAATGTGTAAAATAGCATATTAGGAAATGGGGAAAAAAATGGCAGGTGGCACAAGCCCCTTCATCTACTCTGAGGAACTTACTTGGAGAGAAAAGATTTTCATACAGAAGAGAGCGACAGTTACTAACATTAACATGTAATAATTCATTGCTAAACTGTACAGGGATGAAAAACTGTATCGTTTTGGAGAAGATAATAATTTGTGAAGTTGTAAGCTATCGTCCCTAGACCTTCTTGTAGCTTTCCTTCTTGCAGGCAAGGTTATTAAATTCCATTTCACCGTGTACTGAAGTTAAATTTATATTCTTATCTGCCTCTAGTCCTCAAAGACTCTTTCTTCTCCCCTCTTAGCTCTCCTTCTGGACTCATTTCTTTGGAAACCTTTCCTGTCTTTCTTCTTTCCCAGTGCCATATACACATTTACTTTCTCCCGCACCTCCCAGACAAAGCGAGCATCTGATAGAAGCTACCGCGAGTATATCAAGAGCATCCTGTGTTTTCTCTGACAAATACAAGTAATCACACTAACATGTGTTAAGTACTATTTATCTTTCTCTTTGGGACCCCAAACCTCAGGGTTGCAGGAAACACCTTGTCGATCTGGATTTCCCTCCTTTTCTAGCATGTTGCATTGCTCGAGGTCTAATAACATCTTCTGTATGAATGAAAGTCCAAAAGCTAAGCACACCGCCATCAAGTCGATTCCGACTCACAACACGTCTTGGCCTTTCAAAAACGAATATTTAGAAAGACATATCAATAGGTTTCTAACGTACCATTTGAAGGGCTGAACATTCTTCTGTTAGTCTCGAAATCTGCATATTATAGTGTTTTTTTGTGTTTGCAACCTGGAAATTAAGATATTTATAAATTACATAACTCCAGAATAAAATGACTTATATCTGATTAAAAGGATTTTTTGGGGGGAAAATTACAGCTTTTAGAGCATAAAAGACAACATATAAACAGTTAGGAATTTTTCATGAAAGTGGAAGGAGAGAGAATGAGACACATTATTTAAAAGAAGAGCAGTTGTCAAGCTTTTTGGTCTCAGGATCCATTAAGTTCTAAAAATAGCAAGGCATTGTTTATATAATGGGGTTTTCTATCAATGCACTGTAATAGAAGTGAACACTGAGAAAGTTTACAATATTTAATAATCCTTTAAAATAGTCACTGCATATTAATAAAAAATTTTTATGTAAACTAAATACATTTCCCCAAACCAAATCATTTTATGAAAAGAGAATTGTTTTATCTATCTTAAACGGTCTCTAAATGCCTAACTCAACAGAAGACAGGCAGCTTTCCATTATCTGCTTCTATATCTAATCTGCTAATTTACTACGTGTCATGTGATATCTGGAAAAACTAGTGTACACCTTTACACACTAAAATGTTATTAGGTATTTTAAGACACTTTTATAAAGATGACATTTTATATTACACATACGCTATTGCTATGTGCATAATCTTGTAAAAAGCCTTCAGTAGAATATTTTAAATATCTGCAGAAAGAGTGAAATTCATGGACACAGTATTTTGAAGAACTAGTTGTATTGCATCAGGATGCTCCTATGATGATAGTTTTTCCTAATAATTATTCATGCTTTAAAAAGACAAGACTGTGGGAATATTGACACTGAGGGCACTTCATCAGCAAACTTTTGTGGTCATTGGGGATTTCCTAGGGTCAGAATCATATAAAATGATGTCTTTCTCAGACATATACATATATATGTTTGAGAAAAACATCATTTATATAAGTTTAAGGATAAGATCATATTAGTATAAAAAAAAAGAATAATTTATAAATTATCAAGGGGACATGGGAGATGGGGTAGGGAAGGGAGGGGAAAATGAGGAGCTGATGTCAAGGGTTCAAGTAGAAAGAAAATGTTTTAAAAAAGATGATGACAACATATGTACAGATGTATTTGACACAACGGATATATGTATGGATTGTGATAAAAGCTGTAAGAGCTCCCAATAAAATTTAAATAAACAACAAAGATATTAATATAAAGTAAAAAATACAGATAATGTGTAAGAACAATACCCCCATCAACATTTAAAAAGCCAGGGAAGAAATTTCTGTCCTGGAACAACAAAGAGATACTTGCACCCAGGACAACTTCAGGTCATGTCTATAGGGAGGTCAACTGCTTATGACGAGTTCGATATAGCACCATTAAGATTACAATGGTGTCTGCCTAGCAGTAAGGCTGCTCGGGATTCTTGCCTTTGCCTAGAGTGGATCTGTCAGCACTCAGTCTGACTAGACACTCTGCTGGTGAGTTTTGGGCTCTCACTGGCCCCCATAGCTTTATACAAATTGGGTGTTCATAATTTTAGCTCTGCTACTTTCCTCTTCACCATATTTGAATTTTATAAATGTCATATTTTGATCACACAAGCTGGGGTGCTTCTTCTGTATGGACTTAGTTGACTCCTTGCTTAAATGGCTGCTTGTTTGAATAAAAGCCTTTAAGACACCAGACACTAGTGTGATTGATAGCTGGCCACCATCTACTTTCTGTAGATTGATAGCTGTAGCACCCTTATCTTCAGTGATCATTTCATGAAGGTGTATATTGAGCAGGGCCATGATGTAAGAACTAATTGGTCTTAAGTTGGAGCTAGGATTTAGTGTGAGCCCAGAACTCATTCCTGGATCTATGTTGTTTTTTTTTTCTTTCAATTTGCTGTGACTTGGGAGTTAATACACATGTCATATCATTCCACATTTTAATCATGCAAGACATAATTGTATAATTGCTTCCATAATCAGTCTTCAAACATACTTTTCCTTCATGAGCTTCTTGACATCATTCCCTTCTTATCTCCCCCAGCTCTTTACATCATCCCTTCCTCCAAACCCTTGTTATATTAGAACACTACCATATACTTTATTTGTTAATAGAAGTTTTCTTTTTGAAGCCCTGCCATGTAAATTATATGATGGTACATTTTAACTCTATTTTAGATTATGGTTTGATGTAAGTTTTTTTTCTAAACAGCCACATTAAGGATGACTCTGTTTTGTTCATGGGGCAATAATAAACAAACTAGTATTTACTGACAATTAATGCATGTTAGATATTGTTCACAACATTTTATATCATATGTAATTTCATTGAATTCTCATGTTAGGTCTATCAGGCACACATTAGGAAGTATGTAGTCTGCATCTGTAGTTTAACGGAACATAACTGAGAGTCCCTTACTTCTTTCCTGGTTCTGAAGGCAGCATCCTGAACAAACTGAGAGAGCGTTCCCTTCATTTTCTCTATGGCTTCTTCTTTCTGCTTCTCTTCAAGCAGGGCCTTCAGGAAACAATCATTCCTAGTTATTACAGATCACTTTGTGATTAATAAAGATAACATAACAAATGGGTAAAACATCCATTAATTACTTTCTTGAAAGTAAACATCCTTTCAACTTCTGAAACCTTTCCAATTAGGATCTTGCCTAAATCGTGAATGAAATGTACCTTCCTTACTTAGCATACACATTTAAGCCAATACATCCATTACTCTTCTAGAATCATGTTTGAATCTTCTTACTCTTCAATTTCTATATAAAACATACCATCAAAGCAAGCAAAAATGTCTTGGAGTTCCCTATTTGACATTATTTAAATTAGTTTCCTCACCACTTCAACCCCAGATTACCACAGACACTACCTGCTTTGCCCTCTTAATGGGTTTCTACCATTCTAGACATTTCTGATCCCCAACAAAGAACCATTCTGATAATCTTAATTTTGCTGCCAGCTCATTTCTTTGCTTCTTGTAGGGAACAAAACACATCTAAATTCTACCACTCACTTTTGGAATTATTCCAATCAGGCTTTCCCCAAGAATGCTATCTAAATTGAAATTAGGAACCCTGGAGATGTAGTGGTTATGGATTGGGCTGCCAACTGCAAGGTGAGCAGTTTGAAATCACCAGCAGCTCTGTGTGAGAAAGATAAGGCTTTCCACTCCCATGAACAGATACAGTCTCAGAAATCCACAGGGGCAGTTCTACCCTGTCCTGTATGGTTTTGATATAAATATTTATCTTATTTCATCTACAGCCAACACTTGAGAAGGTCGATTACATTGTTTCCTTGTTTTACTTATTTTCTTTACTGGGCCTTCAGCACATCACAGTATTGGTTTTTCTTTTATCTCATTAAACATTGCATATTAGTATGCATCACTGATTCTTTCTTTCCCCAAACCTCTCAATATTGGACTATCCAAGGTTCATTCAAGTTCCACTTCTCTATGTCCATCCCTTGATTGTGTAAACTAATCTCATATGCTGAAAATACCTGGATCTCTATTTCCAACCCAGATAAATTTCAGAGGTCTCCATTTCTCTGATTAGGTTTGCTTGAATCTTTTAATCACCTCAGAGTAAGCGGCCTTCTATTCTGATCTCAGATGTTCTACAGACATCATACATACGTATACACATTAAAAATATTGTTTCTAAATAAATTCTCCTGCTTAAATAAGTAAGCTAGAGGAGTCCTGGTGGTACAGCGGTTATGCACTGGACTGCTAACAGCAAGGTCAGCAGTTCAATACCACCAGCTGTTCCATGGGAGAAAGATCAAGTTTTCTAATCCTGTAAAGAGTTAAACTCCAGAAACTCCAAGCTCACTGCTTTCAAGTGGGTTCCTTCTCATAGCCACTCTAGAGGACGGGAGAGAACTGACCCCGGGCATTTCTGAGACTGTAAATCTTTACAGGAACATAGAGCCTCACGCTTTCTCTCACGGAGCAGCTGGTGATTTCAAACTGCTGACTTTCTGGTTAGCAACCCAGTATGTAACCACGATGTCACCAGGGATCCTTAGCTGGAGAGTTAGTCTTGGAAACCACAGGGGCAGGTCTCTGTCACACAGTGTTGCTTTGAGGGGAAACTAAATAAGTTAGTGGAAGGAACAGGTGTACGGATGTAAAATTGTGTGAGAAGGAGGAGGAAAAGAGAAATCCCAAAGAAGACTGCAGCTAGAGTCTAACAGAAGGAATGCTTACTTGAATGATAGGTTGCGAGAGCTTTTGCTTTCTCTTGTTTGCTCAGGGGAGCTTGAGCGAGAAACTGAAGAAAGCCCTCTAGCCCAGAGAACCTGACTATTGTAGCCACAGCTAGCCACTACGACTGTCTGCTGGCTTATTACTGGGCTGGAATTTGGAGACTAGGCTGGGAGTGTTACTACTTTCCTCTTTTCCCAGTGTCCTCCACATGTCCTCCATTTCTGACATCTGATGTTCCACATCTTCATGTAGGTAGACTTTGTAGGACAGAAACAAATATTGTTGTCCTTTCTTTACATTTCCCCCCCAGCTCACTGAAGTGTTTAGAAAAATTCCCTACCATATTATCACAATTGTAAGGCTTTACCCATCCTATGAGACAATATTGCAATTCATAGATGGAATAGTTATAAAAGGTGGGATGAATGGTTTAGTCTTTCTACATTAGGATTCGGGTAAAGAAAGACTAAGTAAAACAAAACGTTTCCTTTATATCTCCCATATTTCCTGTGCAGTCAACGAATGTTGACTAATGAGTTAATGATATCTACATAATGCACAGGTGCCCTAGTGGCGTGCTGGTTAGGTCCCTATGAGTTGGCATTAACTTGACGGCAGTGAGCGACATAATGGAGACAGCAACACAGAAAAAAGTTTGTGTAATCTGTGGCCCTTATAAATAGCATATCAATCATATGAAAGTGGTAAAAGACAAAAAAGATTGTGATAGGAAGGTGTCAGCTAATAAATTTTTGTATTGAATCCAGAATAATTAAACTTCAACCCTAGTAGTCATGTAAGTCTGAGGAAGAAATAAAGATGTTCATCTGACTGAACTGAATGTCATATACATTATTTTGCACTAACGTGGTATAATGGAGCTTTGAAAAGGTTATAAAGGGCTACAGAGGGATTAGGAGACATAAGAAAAGTCTGCTATTTATATAATAGTTTTGGTAGAGAATAAATTGATACTTTATTATATTTTGATATTAAGTTTTACCATCTACAAATATGATAGTCTATTAATGAAAAGTACAGCAATTTTATTTTCCTAGAGTTACTCTTCACTTATTGTTTTTCTTTTAGGTCATTAGGGGAATGTGCAGCATTTTATTATTTATAACCATACTTATTAGCTTTCTTACCTGACTTTTTTGAAGGTTTGCTTCTTCTAAGAGTTGTATGGTATTTCTGGCTCTTGAAATTACTTCATATTTCTCATTTTCTAATTGAGTATACTTTGCTTGAAACTCTTTGCCCTGATCTTCCAGTTGTGTTTTCTCTTCTCTTAATTGGTTGGCTTCTTTCATGGTCACACATAATCTAGAAGTTAATAATGACATTGTAGAGAGATTCTGAGCATTTAATTTTGATCAGGAAATATGGCAGTTATTTAACAACTATATGCATTTCCTAATTTGATCCTAAGAACATCTCTGCATAGGTTTCATAATCTATACTTTTAAAAAATGACAAACAGGCCCAGAGAAGTTAAGCAGCTGATGACAATCACATGGCTCATGAAGAGTGAGGCTGAGACCTAGGCTAGATATTCCTACTCTAGTTGTGTTAATCATTTGATGGTATCACATTGTATTATATGGCAATGCGACAAAGGAAATTCCTAAAGAATGAGCTGTTCTTTATATTTATATGGGGTCTTTTTGGTTTCCTTTCCTACTCTCTACTCAGGTACCCATGTTAATTTACTGATGAGTATCTTTGAATCTTTCTCTCCATGTTCATACATCCACATTTAGAGAAACCTAAACCTAACTTAAACATATATATCCACAGAAGATTTTTAGACATACTTTTTACTTACTATTCGAAAAATTAAGTTCATAGTACACATGCTTCTCTGAATTTTCTTTCATTCAATAATATGAGGGGGAAATGTCTTCAAACGGTATATCCAAAAGCCCTCCTTCTCAAATCATTGCACTGTTAATTTGCATTTCCCTAAATATTCAAGCATATTCTTAACTTTGATTGTTATCTTGGAGGATTATGCTTTTAAATTTCCTCGTTAGATCCTCTGCAATTTTTTCTGATGTTATTTACTGTTCTTGTTCTTTTAAAAGAGCTCTTTGAATATTACAGATATAAATCTTCAGTCCTGTATGCTGCAAATATTTTTCCTTCTTATAAATTGATTCTATTTAAGAAATCTTTGCCACAGTAAGAAAAAATTTTTATAACTTCTGAGATTTCAGTCTTTGTAAAAATGATTTCCCTGATCCACAAATTTTCAATATATTCATTTGGATTTCCACAAAAGATTGCTATAGCTTTAATTTGTTTCTTCTTAAATTTTAATCCATCTGAAATTTAATTCTAAAGGTTGCTTAAGAAAGAAGTTCAATTTAAGTTTTTATCTAGATTGATGACGAGATAGCAGTATGAATATTCCAAGTACTTAAGGAATAGAAACAAAACCGGGGTAAGTAAAAATGGAGATCGCCTTGCAGAGGGGTCTCGGGGAGGAGATGAGCCAGTCAGGGTACGATGTAACAATGATGAGAAATACAACCTTCCTCTAGTTCCTAAAGGTTTCCTCCCCGCTCCCACTACCATGACTCGAATTTGATCTTGCAAGTCTGGCTAGACCAGAGGAGGTACACTGGTACAGATAGGAACTGAAAATACAGGGAATCCAGGACGGATGAGCCCTATAGGACCAGTGGTGTGAGTGACAAAACAGGGAGGGTAAAGGGAGAATGGGTAGGAAAGAGGGAACCGATTACATGGAACTGTGTGTGACCTCCTCCCCGGGGTACAGACAACCGAAAAGTGGGTGAAGGGAGACGTCGGACAGGGCAAGATATGACAAAATACCCATTTATAAACTATCAAGGGCTCATGAGGGAGGGGGGAGCGGGGAGGGAGGGGAAAAATGAGGACCTAATGTCGGGGGTTTAAGTGGAGAGAAAATGTTTTGAGAAACGATGTACAAATGCGCTTTACACAATTGATGTGTGTATGGATTGGGATAACAGTTGTATGAGCCCGTAATAAAATGTTAAAAAAAAAAATTTACTGTTACACAATCATAGAAACTTTTACTAAACAAAAACATTAAAACGCCAGGTTATAGTTTCTTGATATATGCTTAGGTCTATAAACTTCTGAAGTTCGTGTTTCCATTCCTCTACCCCTTCCCCCAAAGCATTTTGTGCTTTTAGATTTACAGCACATCAAAATGGCAGTTTTCACTTCCATGAGGGATGTAAATCATGTCCTTTTTAAATGTTGAATTTCACAATCAAAAAACATCTGAACGGGCATAATCTGTGCGATAGGTTGTATGCAGTAAGGTTTCTTACTGAAATTTTCATAGATAAACCCTTGCTACCCTCGAAGAATGACTGGGGCATGGTTGTGATGGAAAACAATTCCCGAGTACAACTTTCTTGGCCATTTTCTGACAAATGCAGCTCCCGGTATTCTTAAAACTGTGTCCTAATCAGCACCTGCGATCATCCTATATCCTTTGAGACAATCCATCAAGATTCTTCTTTAGGAATCCAAAAAGGCAGTCACCATCACCTTCTGAGCTGGTCTATCTTCCTTAACTTTACCTGGGCCAGCAGCTACCCTCAGAAGTCATTGTTTAGAGTGGGTCTTTTATTAGACTGCACCTAACAATACTAAAGTGAATGTACGAACGAGAGAACTTACTTGTAGCCAACCAATGATAGCAGTGATATATTTGACTATATTTTGTAGGAAATTAACTGGTGTATGTATGAAATAGAACTCTAGTAAAGATATTTTTACACTTAAGCTTGTACACACACCATATAATTAAATAATATATATTTTGGTTGTGCCCCTCATTTTGGTTAGGAAATACACATATAGTTATATGCATGTAACTATATATAACTGTATGTGTATTTCCTAACCAATATATATGCATGTGTGTCTCTATATTTGTTTGTTCATTTATTTCATCTCATACCCTTTTGCTCAACTTACACAAACAGAAAGAATGAAGGAAAAACAGCATTGAAGGGTGTTATCTTGACATTCCAGTAAATGTTTATAATTCCTCACTCTGAGGCATTACACCCAATTGGAAGCCATTGTGGTACTGGTGTTTGAGAAGTGGACTCAATGGTGGTAGGTTTGGTTAGGGGCACAATTTGATGGTTACATTTGAAGCTAGAATTTAGTGTTTGGTGCCAGTGATGGTAGAGATTCAGTAACTACTGGCAAAGCCACAAACTACTAACAATTATCTCACTCAAAATGGCAATAGATCTGTTGAAAAACATGGCACCCTTGATGACAGCTGTAGAGGCAAAGCCCAGTGACTGGCCAAGGATTCCAATGAGCCACAGGAGATCAGAATCCCCAGAAGGTAAAACTGAAATACATTGGAGCAGCAGCAGTAGCTTGGCTGGGGACAAGACAAGGCTGAGGCCAGAGTTAAAGATATCAGCGCTTCATGACATATGTAGCCCATGGTGCAAAATGTACACAGCATGGAGCAGTTATGTTCTGATGAAATCGACTTAACAGCCATTGGTATACATTGGAAAACCACATTTAAATATAGCACTTCATGAAATATTGTGATCAATATGTTATGTAAGAGGTCATTGTTCTCACCTAGCTCCTGTTTACCATATCTTTGCCATATCATAGCAACATTATTCACTTTATAAAAGAAGAAACATAATTCATGAAATTTTAATAAGCTCTGCTCTACAAAATACGGAAGGCACCGCTGAAGGGAAAATGGCGACTTGATAGGACTCAGCCGTTTGGAGCTCCTGCTGCCAGACCACAAAACTGGGAGGTAAGGTGAAGGAAACAGCAAGGTGGAGTCCTGAAATTAGAATTAGGGTACTCGGGTCTCTCCTGAACCCCTTTTTTTATGAGTGATTTCCACTCACAAAGTGAACCAAGAACGCTCTAAAGCGCTCTAGGTTTGGCGAGCCTGCAGGCACCAGATGACAAGCTCCTAGCGCCCTTGCCGGTAGGGATTTCTTTAGGCTGACGCCCTAGAGGGGACAAAATTCCAGACACGAGGAGAACCCCATGCCAGAGCTCTCCGTGCCATTGGCTGCCCTGAGCTTACAGCCTAGGGAATGGGGGTGGCAGGTAGCCATAATTTGGAGTACAAGAAAAAGCAGAATTTTACCTGATGCAGATTGCGGGTGCAGGAGAAAATAGG